ATCTTATGCATTCAACTAGAGATCAGAGTATTTTTGATCTGGTGATGCGCAGTGAGGCAGGTTTAAGAAATGATCTCCCTGTGAAGAATTTGCTGAGAAATAGTCACCATAACATGATAGAATTTAGCATTCAATTTGAGAGGGAGGAGCTTGGATTGGAAACAACTGTGTTGAGTTTAAATAAGGGCAATTACAAAGAAATGAGGGCAGAACTAATTGGAATGGACTGGGAAAGGAGTTTAGCAGCAATGATAGTTGAGGAACAATGGCAGATGTTTATGAAAATAGTTCATAGCTTATAGCAAAGACATAATCTAGTGAGGGAATGGGATTCTAGGAGGGTGATAAGCTGACCATAGTTACCAGGAAAGTGAAGAACATCATTGATTTGAATTTAAAAAAAAATAAATGTGGTAAAAATTAATTGTAGGCCAGAGGATTGGGAAAGTTTTAATGACCAACAAAACAGGACCATAAGTATAATGGAGAGAGAAAAGACTTTTGATGGTAAACTCATAGGTGATGTCAAGGAGAACAGAAAGCGCCTCTTTAAATATATAAAAGGGGAAGAGGGAAGCCAAAATGAACATAGGCTTCTTAGAAGATGAGGCTGGGGAAATAATAGGGAACCAGGAAATGACAGTTGAGTTGAATAAATACTTGGCATCAGCCTTCACAGTAGAAGACACTAATAGCATTCCAAAATTGCTAAAAATCCAAGGAGCGGAAATGTATATGACAACGCTCTCTAGAGAAAAAGTGCTTGGGAAACTTTTGGGGCTAGAAACTGATAAGCTCCCTGGGCCTGATGACACACATCCTAGGTACTAAAGGAAGTAGCTGCAGAGATGGTGGATGCACTTATAATAATCTTTCAGGAATCCTTAGATCTGGGAAAGTCCCAGAGGATTGGAAAGCTGTCAATGTAACATCTTTATTTGAAAAGGGGAGGCAAAAAACAGGTAATTATAAGCCAGTTAGCTTAATGCCTGTTATTGGGAAAATGTTAAAGTCTGTTATAAAGAATGTAATAGCAGAGCATTTAGAAATACATAGTATAATCAAGCAGAGTCAGCATGGCTTTATGAAGGGGAAATCATGCCTGACAAATTTACTAGAATTCTTTGAGGAGATATCAAAGAGGATAATAAATGAAAAGCAGTGGCTATAATATATTTGGATTTTTAGAAAGTATTTGATAAGGTAAGAACCTGTTGGAGGGAATATATTAGTATGGATAGAGGATTGGCTAACTAGTATAAGGCAGAGTTGGGAGAAGGGGGCGCATTTTCAGGATGGCAACTTGTAACCAGTGGTGTGCCACAGGGCTCAGTGCTGGGGCCACAATTATTTACAATATATATTAATGACTTGGATGAGGAAACTGAATGTACTACGGACAAGTTTGCAGATGACACAAAAATAAGTGGGAGGGCAAGTGTTAAGGATAGTCACAAATAGTCTGCAGAGGGATGTATATATGTTGAGTGAGTGGACAGAAACTTGGCAGTTGGAATGTAATGTGAAAATATGTAAGGTAATGCATTTTGTCAGGAAGAATAGAGGAGTTTGATTAATATTTAAATGGAGAAAGACCACAGAAAGCTATGGGACAGAGGAATGTAGGAGTTGTTGTGCATGGATCTCAAAAAGCTAGCATCTGAGTTCAGCAGGTAATAGGGAAGGCAAGTGGAATATTGGCATTTATTTCAAAGGGAATGGAATAATGACGTAGGTGGTTTTGCGAAAACTGTGCAAAGCAGTAGACTGAAGGCACAGCTGGTATACTGTGAACAGTTTTGGGCCTCCTATCTAAGGAAAGAAATACTGGTAATGGAAGCAGTCCAAAGAAAGTTCGCTAGGCTTACCTGGTATAGAAGGATGGAGGGACTGTCTTACAAGGAGAGATTGAGTAGGTAGGGCCTACACTTATTGGAATTTAGAAGAATGAGAGATTACCATATTGAAATATTCAAGATTCCTGGGGGACCTGACTGGGTAGTTGCGGAAATTGTTTCTCCTGTGGGAAATCCTAGGACCAGAGGGTATAGTTTCAGGATGAGGGATCACACATTTAAGACAGGTGAACAGGAATTTCCAATTTGAGGGTAGTCAATCAGTTGAACTCTTTACTACAGAGGGCTGTTGATGCTGTGTTGTTATGTATGTTCAGGGCTAAAATGGACATATTTTAATCTGTAAGAGAATCCAGGGTTATGGGCTAAGAGCAGGAAAGTGGAGCTGAGGCTTATTGGATCAGCCATGATCTCATTGAATGGCAGAGTAGACTTGATGTGGAGAATAGCTTACTTATGCTTTTACATCTTATTGTGTTATAGAACAAAGGCAGGACTCTGGTTTTAACGTTCTAAGTTGCCATTTTCAATTGGGTGGAACCAGAAAGACAAATCAGAAAATCACGAATCCTCTTCTTTTCAACCTGCAAGTGTTAACTATGATTGTTGCCTTAGTTGTCCTAAATTATGACTATGTAAATTACCCCCTATTTTAAGGTGGAGGATGTAATTTGAAAGGTATAAAAAATGTGGTGGGAATTTATACTAGCATGCACTGCTTACCTTTTGTAATATTTCAATTAAGTTACTTGTCAGGATGGTTTACACTAACCAACAATGCCCTTTCCACTTATGATACATATACACTGCACAATGTTGATTCAAATTAGGCTGGCTATGCTTGTAAACTCTTAATTTACAATGAATTGGTTATATTTAGTTTTATTATGGTTGGTAGTTTAACACAGTGTGTAAATAGCTTTAACTGGTGGAATTTCCCTTCTCTTGTATTTGAAATATTGCCAGTATGTTTGAGTTAACCCCCTGGCATAATCTGAAGCAGGAATAATGTTGAAACCTACAGTAAAACATTGCAGCATATGAATTGCTTACTGAAGATTTCAAATATAGATTGATAAACACTAGTAAAATCTATCCAGTTTTCTAAAAAGCATTCATACAGGGAAAATAAAGCTTTGTACAGATAACTGCCTTTTTTTAGTATTTTATCAGGAGTTTCTTTTTGTACAATCCAAGATTTTAGGACAAAGAAGTTTGTTTTGTTTCTCTCTTGTTTAAATAACATCTTTTCTAGATTTAGGTAGTGAATATTTTTAGTTGTAAATAGAGGAGTTTGTTTTATGTATAACTATGCAGTTATATTCATTACTTATATTTGTCTCATTATCATACTTGACACTAAAATAATATTGTATTGTGTTGAGAAAGTGATTAGGTAATGTCATTCAAATTGCTAAATAGTTTAACTGGTCCACTATCTATGCTGTTAACCCAGGAGCCGAAGTAACAATTCAAGACATTCTGTTGATCAGATATACATCACGGAGTTTCATAGTCTAGTGTTGGCAACTGATTTGAGCTTTTGGAATGAATTTCTGTAAAAGATATTGGTGATAAAGTCAAAGGCATTCAGGAAGGTTCTACGAAGCAACAATTAAGATCAAAGGCCACATTGTACTTGATGTGTGAAAACACTGCCTGTCCAGTTTAGCATATGATCAGTTTTACATCCATGGGCTGGAATCTTCCCTTTTGACTCCGAAGGTGAGACATCTTTATGGATAATTTCAAATGCTGCAGATCTGCATTAACTTCTCAATCTCTTTATTCTTTCAAGAGCAATGACTCAAACTAAATTCAGTGATGCCTGTTTGAAGCAAATTTGAGGCTTTGACAAGAGATTAAAGAAGATGGGAACAAATATTGTGCACTCTGCTGATATAATTCTTATAGCAGTCAGTTAAAAAGAAAAATGCAAATGCTGTTAATCTAAAGTTAAATCCAAAGATGCTGTAAGAACAAAGCAGACCAGTCATTATTTATAAAGAAAGGCATGTGGCAGAACCATTGTTACAACTGGAAAGCGAAATATGATTGAGCTACCTAATGCAGCTTAATGAACCACAGACAATAACAGGGAGAATTTTTAAAATAGATGTCGTATGAAATGAACTGGTACACAGCAAAGTAAAAAGTAATTGGCATTAAGCTGAAATAATGTCGAGAATGCTAGAAATGCACAGCTTGTCAATTATCTGAAGAAGAAATAAGCCGTTTTAATATATTAAGTGTAGGCCACTTGTCAAAACTGGAAACAATGAGAAGATGAGCTAAGACATTTCAAGAACAGACAGAGAAAACAGATACTTGGGGCTAACCTTTACCTAGCATATGAAGAACAAGAAAATATTTTCGCTGCAGGTGTTCCCCTGCACCTCAACTTGAATGAAACCAGAAACCTGCTACTGCAAGCAGTAAACCACTTTGGATCCATTTCTAGAAAACTCCAACTGCGATTCCTTCAGTGAACCAAAGGAAATCACAGGCCTACAAAATTTGAAGACTGCATCTTAAGAGAATTAAAGTGAAATTAAATTTGGATCTTTGAGACCTGTGTATCCTGCCTTTTTTGTAAACCAAATCTCTTCCAGCCATGGGGAGCATATTTTCTGCATCTAAAAGTTTTTCAAGTTTCGATGAGATCAGCTCTCATTCTTACAAACTCTAGAGAGATATGGTCCATTCCTGCCATCTGAAAAATTAGTTTGATGAGCCTCTGTTGCACTATCTCTCTGGAAAATATATCCTTCCTTGGTTAAGGAGACTGAAACTTCACACAGCATTCCAGGTGCAATCTCACCAAGGTTGTGTGTGCATCTGAAACAAGACATCTTTGCTCTTACATTCAAATCCTCTTGAAATAAAGACCAACATATCGTTAATCTTTATTGTTGCTTGTTGAATCAAATAACAATGTTTTACATTTTATTTAACATTTTACGACTGAATTGAAAATAAATTGAAATGGATATTCAACTCAAATGTGTATGTAGGGTATTCTTTGGGGATCCAGAACACAAGAAATGAATCTTGCTGAAGCATCCAGTTTGATATTTGCTGTCTTTTTATCAAATAAAACAAATGCCCTTGCTTTTCACTTACAAGTTATCTGTACTTAATTAGGGCACTGCTTCAGTTCTTCAGCGTAGATCGGATAATGAGGAATATGTGGAGGTTGGAAGACTAGGACCTTCAGACTATTTTGGTGAGTTTGGATTTCACATTTCGTTTCAAAATAACATTAATGTTGATGCTTTAACCTTTAACATGGATGTTTTAGTAATCATTGTTATGAAATAGTTTAACTATTTCTAACACATTTATTAGGGATGAACTCTAATGAACAAATGGTGTGATGCCTAATTAATCCTGACTGCACTGCTTTTTCCTCTCCCACATAGTTTTGGATTTTTTGTAATGAGTTTAGAAATAGTTTTGACAAAAGCTCAAAGTAATGCAGAATCCATTACAATGAGTAACATTATCAGGCAAAGGCATCTTCCAGTTTTTTTTTTAGTTTTAGCAGGCAAAGTTTTATGCATTTTCACCGGATGGAGGATTGTACAGTTGATGTGACATCTTAATTTGTTTAAAAAAAAGTAAAGTTTTACAGAAAATGAGTGCGTTTTCTGACATAATTAGAAATTAAAGTCATCCAACATGGAATCATTAAATGCTTGCTTTAGTGATTAAATTCAAATATATTGTTCTATTAGTTCCCTATGAAATAATCCAAGTGGTTTCCAGTGGTGGATACTGGAAGACTATTGTAAATTCCTAAATGTGTTTGTTGAATGAGGTTCAACTATGAAATGCACTGCAATCAAATATGTGCCAACATTGAATCTTAGTTCATTATACTTTACACAGAGTTCATGGCAGGTACTCTTGTGTGTTTCATTAATTGACTTATCAGTAAGCTATTGTATATTCAAATGTATGCATGCTAACATAATTTTACTGCTGGATTGAAATTGGTCTGTTGAAATGGATAGGCTCTCCAGAAAGCTATATAAAATGTGAATGAACAAAGTAATCATTGTTTGTAGGTGTGAGACTAGAAAAGCACAGTAGACAGTATCGGAAGAGCAAGAAAGTCAATGTTTTGGGCCGAAACCCTTCGTCAGGATGTTGGGCCAAAACATTGACTTTCCTGCTCCTCTGCTGTCTGACCTGCTGTGCTTTTCCAGCCTGACACCTATGGACTCTGGCTTCCAGCATCTGCAGTCCTTATTGTCTCAAAGTAATTATTGTCGTCATTGTTAAGTCACTTTTTTCAGGATTGTACTTATTTATTTGAAATTAAATGTTTCAGGCCCATTACTGGTTGATGTCAATCATGTATTTAGAACCATCATGCCATTCATGGCAAAGAAGAGGGCATTTGGTATATTGAATCCATCCTCATTCTCCATGGAGCAACCCATTTATTGCCAGTTTCTGTTTGATCCCTGGGGCTCTGCATGTTTATATTCTTCAAGCATCTAACCAGTTTTCTTTTGAAGTCATTGATAGTTTCCACTTCCATTACCCCTGTGGGCAATGAATTCAAGATCAGTACCATTCCCTGGTCAAAGTAAGTTCTTAATAATTAAAATAGCTTGAGGGAAAACTTGGTCTTATGACGTCAGCTTTACTACATGTAAACTAGGCACAATGAGGACTAGTTTTAGGAAGCATAGCATCCAAAAGACCTTTGTGAGGTGTCTGCCCACAAGTTGAATTTGGTGACTTTTCACGTGCCTGAAATAGGCATTAGAACCCATCTGTTGCATATGCAAGAGGACTGTTTTAGCTTTCCTTTCTGAAATTTAATGATGCAAAGTAATGCCAACTGGATGTGCTTTGCTTGACATTCTTAAACAATTCACTCTCAAACACTAGTAGCATTGTAAATAAATAAAACAGAATTTCTGTTTTGGTAAACAGAAGCACTCCCTTACTCTGCAGTACACTATTCAACATCCCACCAGGATCCCCACTTCCTACCAGGTTGTGACTTCTGACTGAAATATATTTTACTTAAACATGCAAGTTACCTCTTAGAGATGTGATGGCTACTGGCAGCTCTTGAGACTGCTCGTTCAGCCCCTCTTACAGGGTGGTTACTGACTTTGGGTTCAATACTAGGCGGTAACTTATACTCCTTCATTTGTATAAAAATATTCGCTAGTAGAATTTGCTAATTAACATTTTCTCCTATCAAATTACACTATGATTCTAGAATACAAGATTGCTTCAAATAAGTTGCTGATTTTTTTTGCAAAATAAAGATGTTAATCAAATTCCCTTAGTGTTGTAATAGTGGAGCTCCTGTTTGAAATTTCAGCAATAAACAAAGTTCTTTTTAAAAGATATCCATAGCAAAACAAACTGCAATACATGCCTTTTAATGATGGCTCCTACTTTTTAAAATGCTCTGGATGGCTACAATACAGCAGTTTCCACCAGGAGGTGCTAAGTAGTAATCAGATCCAGGGACCTTGGCTTGCTCCCTATTCTGTCCCCAGGGCTGGTTACTGAGGGCAGTTGTGTACTTCTTATCCTTGATTCTACTATAATATTAACCAACTTGCAATGATCAGGAAATAAGCATGGAACCTTCCTGGTTTGTCAAACTTACTAAAGGATAACCTTTTTAATCTCTTTCAACTTTGCCAACTTTTTTTTCACTCCTGTATGCTTCATAGATTTATGTTTATTTGAAGGTGACGGCTAAACAATCCATCTGGTGAGTTTTTGTCAGAAATCTCTGCTAAGATATTAATTAAAGTATCTTGTAAGCCTTGCAGCTAACTTGATTTCAATGTCACCAAGTAACCATGTGTTTCCAATTCTTAAATGGCCTTTCTTATTATTAGCTATCCTACTGTACAGCCAATTCAACATTAGATAGTCGATCTAAATCGGGAACGCAACAGTGATTGGACAGTATTATTTGCAGTTGGTGGTGGAAGAATCTCTGATCACCCTGTCAAAGTTTAATAAGTAACTTAAAGTAAACATTGCATAAGGAAATCCACTAACTCTACAGAACACAGATGCAAGTAATATTTGTCACATGAATACAGTCTGACCTAATTTCTTAAATAGTCTTTTAATAATTCCAAATTCCTGAACTAGTTGGTCTAATGTTATTCACTTTCAGATTTTTTCATTCAAAAACCAGAAGCAAAAGCAGTAAACAAAATTTTACAACTGCCCATGTTTTGATTCTCACCATTTTGTCCATGTTTAGGTGAAATTGCCCTTCTGTTGAATCGGCCGCGAGCAGCGACTGTAGTTGCACGTGGTCCACTGAAATGTGTCAAGTTGGATCGTCCACGTTTTGAACGAGTTCTGGGTCCATGCTCTGAAATTCTCAAGAGAAACATCCAACGATACAATAGTTTCATTTCTTTAACTGTTTAAAACTTTTGGATCAGTTGCAGCCTTTGTGTTACTTTGTGCAATTAAACTTGATCTGTGTTGTTGCGTATTACGTGTGTTTTATGTAAGATTTTAGACTGATTTTAAAAGACTATCAGAAACAAGAGGAAGGGCTCGCAATCTGTTGAGTAAAAGTTCTAAAATTTGCTCCTTTTCTTCGTCAGTGAAATTTAATAATGGATTCCAGTTTACTGCTTAATCTGCTACTTTAGGTCAATTCCACATCGAAATAAATTTACTTGCGGGTGATCATGCATTTTGCTAGTTAAATATCATTTATTTCTTTGTTTATAACATTGTTTTAAACAATTGTTTCTTATGAATTCCACATATTGAATAATTTAAAGTTCTCAACAGTTGGAACTCTTGGATTATAATGTGTTACACTTGATCATACTGTCTTGAGAGCCAATGCCGTGACCATGAGTTTAAAAGATGAATATATCATACTGAACAGGAGGAATTGTGACATAATTGCACTTCCTAGGATAAATACCAAATTAATGGAATATTCTTCAAATTTGTGGGCTTTTATTTATTTTTCTAGATTATTTTCAAGCTTGAGGTCAAGTCTGGTTTATTACTTGAACATGAATTCTTTGTTTTGGTATATTCTGCCAGAAATCTGTCTTGTTAATGAGGAGCTGTAAGGTGTGGCAGGCATTTTTATTGTGTGCACTGAAGTATAATCATTAATGTATGAAGTGGGGGGTCCTCGATCAGTTCAGTTTACCAGTGCAGTCTGGATGAGTTTATAGTCTGTTGCAGCTGTTCCCAGGGGTTCATAGATCACTCTACCTAATATGTAGAAACAGGTTTTGGAAACTTAGAAGTTTTTGTGATTAAAAGAAATCCAAAACAAACTTCACAATTAAGGTTTCTAATATTTTGTGTAGTCTTATTTTGCACTATTTTACATATACTTTTTAAAGTTAGCTATCTTATTAAGCTTGTTGTGCTATTTGGAGCTTGTTTAACTATAGTCCGTTTCACAAAAGGAATAAGTAATCATATAATATTGCTTTTTGTGCTGAATTACATATCCCAGATATTTTGGAACATCATTCAGATTTTAAAAATAACACCAGAACCATTATATTTTCTATTATTTTATGTAATGCCTTTGCTTTCACAATTCCAATAAAAAAAACTCCAATTTGCATTTGTTTTTCTACTTTGTTAATCCGTGAATTGTGACAATATATGTGTTTAAACACAAAAGCAATCTTGAAATGCATTTAATGTAGTTATTATATATCCACAAGATTTTATGATCACTAGCATATCTAAGTATTTTCAAAAATATGTAGAAATGTGTATATATACCGAGTTATTTATGGTTGATTCAAACCCATTATTCCCTTTCCGCATTCTGCTAACGCTATTAATCTATTATATCTATAATGCCAAAGGCACAGGATCCAAGAAAGATTTTGGATTCTAACAACATCCCAGCTGGAATACTGGAGATGTTGTGCCTGAATTAGCCGCATCCCTAGCCAAGTTGTTCTAGTCCAGCCTGAACACTCATCTACCCAACAATGTGGATAATTACCCTAATATATCCTGTCTGCAAAAAGCAGGACAATTCCAATCTGGCCAGTTCGTGTCCTGTTGCACAGTCTCAATCGTCAGCAAAGTAAGTGTTGTGTCAACAGTACTATCAAATGGCACTTGCTCACTGATGCTCAGTTTCTGTTTGTAAGTACTACTCAACTCCTGATCCTATTATAGGCTTGGTCCGAATGTGGTCAAAAAAGTTAAATTCCAGAATGGCATGGGAGTGACCATCCTTCACATTAAGGCAGCATTCAAACAAGGATGGTATCAAGGAACCCTTGTAAAATTGAAGTCTGTGGAATCAAGGGAAAAACTGTCCCCTGGTTGGAGTCATACCTAGCACAAAAGAAAATGGTTGCAGTTGTTGTGAAGGACAATTCTCTCATTCTGCAGTATAGTCCTAGGCTCAACATAGTGTCAAAGATTGTGATGTTCACTGACTATGCACTGCACCATACCATTAACAACTCCTCAGATACTGAGGCAGTGTGTTTTCAAATGTAGCAAGACCTGGACAATATTCCAGCTTCGTTTGATGAGTGGCAGGTGATATTTATACAATGCAAATGCCAGGAAATAACATATCCAATAAATGAGATTGTAATAATATCTTCTTAACCTATGGCAGCATTACCATCACTAAATTCAGCTTCCGTCAACATCTTCGGATTATCATTGACCAGACACCGAGCCGTGCTAGACTTATAAATGCTTGGCTACAAGCAGATAAGAGGTTTTGAATTTTGTAATAATGTACCTCATGATTCCCCAAAGCCTGTCCACCATCTATACAGGACAAGTCAAGAACCTAATGGAATTCTGTTCACTTAAGTTGGATGAGTGCAGCTCCAACAAGAAACTTGACACCATCCACAGTAAAGCTGCCCACATGTTTAGTCCCAATTTGCTCTCAAAATGTTACTTCTTTCACCACCAGTGCATAGTGGCAGCAGTGTGTACTATCTACAAGATTCATCGCAGTAAATCACCAAGGCCCCTTCATCAATATCTTCCAAAATGTGACTTCTATCCCCTAAAAGAACAGGGCCAGCAAACACATGGAAAGGATACACCTACAAGATCTCCTTCAGGCCATGCAGCTTCATAATTCAATTGTATTGTTGTTTGTTTACTGTCACTTGGTCAAAATCCTACTACCCCGCCATGATCAGCAACAGCAGATGTATGTACACTGTGTGCACAGTCTGGAGCAATTCAAGAAGTGACTCCCCATCACCTGTTCAAGAGCTCTTTGGCATAGGCAATAAATGCTGGCCTTGCTAACAATGCTCACCCCTCATGAGCATATAAAACACATGTTTTTCCTATAAATGTCTTCCTGTAAATGGTCGGTATAATTTTGATGTAAAATTTAATTGTAGATAAACAAGTAAATCATCTGAGCAGCAGATCTTGCAATTGCTTTATTTGTAATACATTCATTGATATCAGATCCAACTAACAACTTCTGGTTTTACAATTTTGAGGATTCAACTGTGCTGCTGTTAAATTATATAGATAATCTATACCTTTGTGATTGACACCTTGCTAAGTGTTTATATCATAAATCGTGTGATCCTCAGTGATGCACTGAAATTTGTTGACTTTTGACCCAGAAATTTAGGGTTAGTAGTTGATAAAGACAGCTGTTTGGTTTGAAAACCAAAGGTGCTAAATGTTTTGGGTGCAGTTTCACTAGAGTGAGCCCTACCAGAAGTCTTAAAACATATTTTATTGCTCAATTTGATATTTGTTTAAGCTGAAAACATTATTATATGTTCTTAAGTTTGCACCCTGATTTCATATTGTTCATGTGGAAACTCACGGAGTTTTTACCTTTGTGTTGTTTAAGAGGCACAGAATCTTACTGAGCATTTTCTGTCAAAATCTTATCAACCTTGGCTCAGTGGTAGAATTCTTGCCTCTTTTTCTGAAGGTCATGGAGTTGAGCCCCATTCCAGTGCTTGCACATAACATATAATTTTAGTGGATTTTTTTTAGATGAAGTGTAAATTGAGGCACTATCTATCCTCTTGGGTAAACACAGATACCTTGGGACTTCTTGAAAGAAAGGATTCATTTGGTTACCTGAGCAACATTTGACCCTCAACCAAGGCACACAGTCTTAGAATAAGGGAAATGCTATTCAGGACTGTAATGGGGAGGAATCTCTTCGTTTAGGGTGATGAATCTTTGGAATTCTCCATCTTTAGAGGGCTGTCGAAGCTCAGTCATTGAATATGTTGCAGATAGAAATCAGTATGTTTCTAGATTTTTTTAGATGTCAAGAGAGAATGCAGGAAAATTCTGTTGAGGTAGCAGATTAGTCCTTATCCAATTCAGTGACTTTGCAGTCTCAAGTGCTGAATTCCCTACTCTTCTTTCCTAACTTCCTAAACCAGTTAGGCCATACTTATAATACTGTCTGCAGTACTGATTGCAATATTATGAAAATCATAAAGGCACTAGAGAAGGTTCAGAGAAGATTTACAGGCATGATACTAGATATGTGTGGTGTTATTATTTTGGGATTTGGACACTGTACTAAACTCCAGAGTAATAAACCTTTGTTGGGAAACAATCTCATCGACAAAAAGGGCAATCAAATTTATAATGCAAACTGACATGTTTGTTGGATAACAAAGATTAATACTTGACATTCATCTAGTTGAGGCATGGTGTGATAAATAGGTTCAATATACATTGGTCTTTCTTTGTGTGGATTCTGGAGTCCTCTTAGTCCTTGAACATGGTTTTTTGAATCAAAACGAGCTTTGAGATTTTTCTGTAACATACAGGTAGTCCTCAGTTAACATGGTTGTCATAACATAGTCTTTACTACCCATCATTCCAAGCATAGCCAACTTGCAGCGGCTTTTGGCTGTTGTCTGCCTGAGTGACATCTTTGAGTATCATGACTCCCAAGCACTCTAGCCATTGAAGCAAAGAGATTGTGGTTATGAAATGCAGGAAATCAATTCCACAGTGTGTTATATTGGATGAGTTCTCCAAAGTCAAGCATAGTGAATGCAACATTAACATTCAAAGAGCTTTGGGTCTTACTGATTCAACTTTGTGTACAATTTGATGTAGCACTGGTAAATCTTAAAATGAGAAGCCAAAGTGTAACTCCGTTAAGTGCAGCTCAAATAGTTCTTGCACCGTCCTGACCTGAAAGTAGATCAAATGATCCTGATGTGAAGTCATTTCACACCAAAAGAGCAGTCTTAATGATCTCAATCTTCAACTTCCAGAGTTGCAGATGCGTGAGATGAAAATCTGCAGACTTTCACTTCCATTAAAGTAAGAAAGCTTAAAAGGTATCCTTTTTGCATATTTTCATATCTATTTTGGTGTTTTATGTTTGTGCTTGCATTCTGTACTTCTTTGGGAATATGTGTTTTGAATAACACGGTTCTGCTTAATGGTGTGATTTTTCGTGATAATAACTCTGCATTAATTAGGGGCACCTTGTGCAAGTAAACTGCTTCAGTTTTGAGATTTCAAATCTAATACCCTAGTCTGTCTTAACTACTGACTCTGTTGAAAGCAGCTTCCTAAAAATAATAGATGATAACAAGGTGTAG